AAGAACGCGTGACATCTGGAAATGTTCACAGCCAGGTAGAGGAGATGCCTGAAAGCAGTGAAGGAAGTGGGGGCAGGGAGAATGATGAAATGGTGTGAAGAGTAGGGTGGGGTCCTCTCTGCTCAAATGTGTGTCAAGAGATTCTTGTGATCCCTTCCAACGTCAAAGACCAGACAGCCATCTCCATCTGGTCTTCCTCAAGGAAGGAGAACAAGAGGCGCTAGGCCAGAAGCTGGGACAGAGAGAGGCAATTGGAGCGGATGCCGCCCTGGTGGAAAAGGGTTGAGATCTGGGAGTTGAGGGCCGGGAAGAGGATGTTTCTCTGTGCTCTGCCCAGGTCGCAGCCCAGCAACAGGAGTCAGCCTCAACCCAGAAGGCAGAGCGGGAGGTGAGCCGCATGGTGGTGGTGATGGTGGGATCCTTTTGTGTCTGTTACACACCCTACGCTGCGATGGCCATGTACATGGTCAACAACCGTAACCATGGGCTGGACTTACGGCTTGTCACCATTCCTGCCTTCTTCTCCAAGAGTGCTTGTGTATACAACCCCATCATCTACTGCTTCATGAATAAGCAGGTAAAGCTCTCTATTTACATTCCTATGAGACTCTAGTTCATGAGACCTGGTTCTTTTCTCACCAATGACTTTTAATTCAGAGCACCTTGGACTCTACTCAAAAGGTTTCTAGGGGTGAACAAGGGAAGCTCTCGGTAATAAGCACAGGGAGAAAGGCTTGGTCATTGAAACAATGTAATAGAACCCAGAGAAAACAGAATTTGAGCCATAAAAGTCAGGTTGCTCCAAAGGGAAGGATGAGAAGTGGAAGGGTTTTGTTTTCTTGACAAACAAACAGATTTAACCATCACCCTAAATTCCTAGTGCTTCCATTTCACAAGTTCTTAATCCTTCCCAACTTCCAGCCTGCAGGAGCATATGCAAAGCACAGAAATAACAACATATGCGTAAGTCTCTAAAACAGTTTATCATCTGAAGGTACCAGGTGGCCTCCTATCCCAAATCCTGAATCTGAGCTAATAAAAAAACCCAAGCTCAGATGAATCTAGGAGAGTTCCTATCTTGTGGGGCAAACCCCCTGCTTTGAGCATTCTTAATAGCTGTTTTGTTTCCTTCGTCTTCAGAGATGGGACTCAAAACTCCTGGATGGAAACAAAATTGGCAATCCTTTTCAATTGGGAGCACCTTCTAGTAATGGAGGGGTGGGTGGGTGGGTAGGCCTACTCTGGCACCACTTTTGAGTGTCTTATTGAGGCAGGTTGCTTTGTGAGGTTTCCCAACAGTGGAACCTCTGAGCCAAAATGTGGAGGGATTACTGTTGTAGGCCCTGCAGTAGCTCTCAGGGTTGGGAAGATGTATTCAAAACCACGAGGAGATGCTGGGTATATGGCACTGTGCGAGGCTTTGGAGATACGGAGAATGAGATCTCTTGCCATTTCCCGATGTCGTCTCTTCTGTACTGGTCTGCATGGGACTAACTCCAATTCTGCCCTTTCCTTCCAGTTCCGAGCTTGCATCATGGAGATGGTGTGTGGGAAGTCCATGACAGATGATTCTGAAATGTCCAGCTCCCAGAAAACTGAAGTTTCGGCTCTCTCTTCCAGCCAGGTTGGCCCAAACTAAGGAGCCATATTGGCTTATTTGCAGCAACTAGGATTTCACATTTAGGGAATTCCTTCTTTCTCTCAAAAACCAAGCTACTAACAAATGCAGAAGATGGGAAGGGGAATACGGCAAATTTGGGGCATCAACTTCCCATTTTCCTACCACTCCTTTCCTGCCTACAAAGCTGCTGTTCCAGCTGGGTCTACTATAGACCATTCCAAAGGCCATGTCAACAATCCTCCAACTCTAAGTGGCACCATTGACAGCACCTGAGAGCTGATTTCTACATATGGGGCAACTATAAAGGAGGATGGCTGATTTTTCAGTGTATGGGTAACAATTATCTTCCTTTTCAAAAACTTTTTTTCCCCCCTTACTGGGGCTCTAAGATGATACAATCTGAATTAGAACAAGCATAAACATCTTAGAAATGGGAGAGAGAGATAGAAAAAACAAACTAAACCTCAAGTAGGCCCAAAATAGGGGTTTGAAAGAACTTCTTTATGCCATTACCGCCAATCATCACTACAGCTCTGGCAGGGACAGCTGTGTCCAGAAGCTCCTGAGCCAGCATGAAGTATTCCAGGTGCTCCCCACCCAATTTGGCTAAACCTATATATGTCTTAAGCTGTGTATTAATAGTTAATTCTCTTCATGTTCTCAGAATGAACTTACACACCTTTATACAGTTTATAATGTTCAAAAAGTGTTGAAAAACTGTTTTACCTTGTACTTTATGCTCCCCCTGTAAAAGCCTTTTTGAAATAAAAATCAAGATAAATGTCGTGTGTACATTCAGGAATGCCTTGTGTTTGGTATCAGATAATTATGTAATGAGCAGCTGGGCTCTTCTCCAGTTATACAGCCTAAGGAAAGCAGAGAAGGGGTACAGCTGTAGTGAGAAGGATGACAGAAGATTTCAGAATTAAGAAAGGAGTAATTAATCTGGGAGAAGGCAGAACTTATCTGGGATGGGAGGGAGTACAGTAAACCTCTAGAAGACCTCCTTTTCTTTGACATTTTATAGCACCTGTAATTCTAAGCAAGAGTTCCACTTCTTAAAAGAATAAAGGACATATGTACCCCACAACGAATGTAAACAGTTTTATTTAGAAACAGATAGGTACCTGTTTGCATTAGAGAATATAAAACTTGGTTTACACTCTATAAAAAATAACCAGTATCCAAATCCAAGAGAGCTAGCATTCACAGAACACACAATGTGGGTGTGTAGCCACTGTTCACCAGCCTCAGGCTTGACTTAAACCAAAAAGATAATCCAGGGGGGATCATTAGAGATTAGAGTATAACACTTGCTGCTGAGCACCCAGCATCCAGAAGTTGCCATTTTAGCGTATGAAGGTTTGCTTTCTAAGTGAGTAACTTTAACATAAGGCCTGGGTTCTCTGTACCTAGTGAGCTGTGAGGCTGTCTTGCCACACAACTCATGTGCTCTCTTTAATCCCAGTTGACATTATTATCTCTGATCTTAACAGTAAAAATGGGGAATCTGGAGAGCAGAGATTTCCACTCCCCTATGCTGGGGTTAAACTTTAAAAGAGTTTATCTACTCTCAAGAGCTCAATGCAAAGGCCAGGATGAAGTTACATGATAATCCGGCATTTTACCAGGCCAAGTAGTCCACCTCAACATGATCATGGAAGACCAAAGGATACACCTAGGTTCAGATTATAATAATCACCCAGCACCACCTGAATGTATTATCCATAAAGATATATGAAATAATAAAGGTTAGATATACATACATTTATCTTAATAACCTGAGGGCTAAAAAAGTTTGGAATACAATTCTTCTTCTCAAAAGAGGTCCATCTGTAAGAAAGGGACCAAAAAAGACAGAGTTCGTGTTACATAAAATATGGGCAAAGTGTGTTAGGAACAGAAGGTGGCTTCTTCAGCTCTTTCTACAATGTCCCTCTTTGACAAGGATTGGCAATCTGCTGATCCATGATAAACTTTTTGGGGGCAGTGGGGAGAAGGGGAAATGGGGGCAAAGGGAGTGTTGGGTCAAAGGCAAGAAGATTGAGCAATGGTCCTCAAACCAAAGAGTCCTCTATGTAGGCCCTCTCATCTTTGAGTCTGAGTTCAAGCTCTTCAGCTGACACCGAAATAGGCCTGGTAGTAAGTGGTTAGCATTCTGAGGTATGAGGATCCCTGGTAAATTCAGCAGCATGTGGTTTTTGGAAACCAGCCCACAAGATAAGAACACTGCAACCAAGCTCCTAACTAATACTGCTATTTAACCACTGTCTGAAAGAGAAAGGAAAGAAAAAAAAAAAAAATCCCCAATACATTGGGAGGTTGTAAGCTTCATTTCATATAAGGGGGTCCAAATAATCTATTTTAGGGTTTCTTAACAGAACCCTCATTCAGTGATCATTTCTCTTGTTAAAGGCACTTTCAATGACATAATTGGAAAGGAATACAATTTGCAGTGAAAGATTAATTCCCAGAACACCTGGGGAGATAGGAACTGAATGGGGCACTTACAGTGATTCAATAGGCAAGACAGTCTTGAGCACTTCAACAGACGCACACCCAGAAAAAAGTGCCCTGAAAACACTTGTATTTTTCCCTTAATTTTCCAGCTGTTTCTATGTATAACTCTGTAAAGAGATCACACTCACTACTTGATTTTCAAGACACTGGCCCTAACTCTTCCCACCACAGCTGTGCCCAGCAAAATTAGCAAACAGCTAGTCCTCCTGGGAAGAAAAAAAATGAACAAAATCAAGTCGAGCCAAGCTTCCTGACAGCACAGGGATCTGTCCTTACCCAGATAATGCCACGATCAATTGCTGGACCTATAGCAACTGAATGGACTATGTGGCCCCTACTACTTATAAAACATACTTTCAACAGGCAAGGTTAAGTGTTCTCTCTCTAAATATTAATTGTGGGGCATTTTTTTTTTCCCTTTTCTCTCTCCTAAACATTTCTTATTGATCTCAGGCTTTAAAAAATTAGTTAAGTCAGAATTATAAAAATTATATGGCAAGGGTTGAGAAAGAGTGAAGGGCTAATATTTGCCTACAAGCGTGAGTTGAGGATGTTGATCCTTCATATCATACTCCCAACCAGAGAACAAATACAAAAATAAACACACCATGTTATACATAATACAAAGTGTAAATCTACAAACACAAGTGTACTAATTAGAGTTGTTCCTCAGAAGCACGGTTCCCTCCAGTCCCTCAAAGAGGAGGAGGAATGGGGACGGGATGGTTTTCATTACGCCTTTTCAGGTCTTAAAAAAAGTTTGTAATAACAGTCTCAGTAGCGCAAACAATTTCATGTGAAACCAGAAGCTGTAAAAATAAATTACTTTTGAAGAAATGCAGGTTCTTCTGTCTGCAGCTCAGAACTCATCGTGTCGTACTAAGGCCTCACCAAAATCTGTGGCCTGGCTGCCCACAAATAAATCATACTTGTCAACAATCTCCTCCTTGGTAAGCTTGCCATCCTGAAACCAGAGAGAAGAGTGAATTGCGGCAAAACAGATTTCCCATTTCAAATTTAGAAACACTGCTATAGAACAAAAGGGGTTAGGATTTGAGATTCTAATTCCACTAAATTAAATGGGAACTCAATCCTCATCCCTGACCCCTTCCACATACAGAGGGAAGAAAGCAACAATACATTTTTCTTATTAAGTTAAAACTGGAAGAATGGAAATAATATAGCTCAATAACTTAATGCTAGAGATATGTCAAGCAAGATGTGGGACATCTTCTAGGTATAGGTAAGAGATAGGAAGAACTGGGTAAAATAAAGTGAATCAAGTCACTGCCTCACAGGAACAATGAAATCTACTAACATCCTTACATAGTCCTCACCCCCACTACACCGTAGCCACCAATCAGATTCCAGACATAACCCCAAATGAAGGCTGAGACACTCATCTCAAACATTACGTAAGCCAGATTCCCAAGATTTGACCTTACGAGTTTCTTTTTCTCACATAGCTCAGTCAGGACACAGCACTTGGCTACTTTAAGTGACTGAAGCAAGAACTCAAAACAGACCGACCCTTAAAAAGGCTTGATGATAAAACACTGCATTTGAAACAGAAGACAGGCTTAGACAGGAGAAATATTCAGAATGCAAACCCCGCCCCTGTCTTTAGATTGATTTTCAGCTCACTCTAAGCAAAGCATTCATATTGCTGAAAAGGTGACAGGGCTTAGTGATAATACCACTGTTAATGAACCAAATGCCTCAGATGATTGAGGACAATTTTAACAGGCTCCAGAGAAAAGCTGATTTACAACGTAACTACTAAGAATTTAGTTTTAAAAAGCATATTTAAGAAGGAAATGATCAGGGTGCCTGAGTGGTTCAGTCGGTTGAGCGTCCGACTTCGGCTCAGGTCATGATCTCACGGTTCGTGACTTTGAGCCCTGCATTGGGCTCTGTGCTGACAGCTCGGAGCCTGGAGCCTGCTTCAGATTCTGTGTCTCCCTCTGTCTCTGGCCCTTCCCCTCTTGAGCTCTGTCTCTCTCAAAAATAAACAAACATTAATAAAAAAAATTTTTGTTTAAATAAAAAAAAATAAAAATAAAAAAAAAGAGGGAGATGACCAACTTTGAGTAGGGAAAATGAGCCTATGATAGATAAAAGAACAAAGGAAATAATGGGGAAAAAAAATTAGGGAAAATTTCCTGGGGATCCAAAGGTAACAGATGAAGCACGGTGGGCACAGGCTATGTACAGAGGCTCTTTGCTGAAGCCAAATGCCTCCAATGGTGTGAACAATGGGCAAAGGGATTTCTAAAATGAGATCAGATAGCTAGCACTGCCCTGTAAGTTTTCAATCGCCAACTTAAGATTTGCAGCAGACTTAGACTAATTAAGACCTTACATGCTCTATGTACCTCAACAGGAATGTTTTAGGTAATCCCCTAGAAACAGACTTTGATCACTGCTAGGTTGTTTGGGCCTGGCCAGACTTACCTTGTTCTGGTCTGATTCATACACTAGGTGTCTGGCTTCTGCCTCTGCATGATCATAGTCTGAGGGGAGGATCCAGTCTTTGGTCTCTTCCTTGTCCATCTTCCCATCACGGTTCTTATCTCGAAACTCAACAAATTGTTCTCTTTCTGTCTTTACCCATTCTGGCTCATCAGCATTTCCATCATGGCTGTACATGTCACCTATGTACATAGACATACATAATACAAAAGGTGAGTATTTTTCCCAAGACTGCCACATGCTAATCTGGCTTAACTTTTCCCCCATCTGGAACATAGTAGCAGTTACAAGGCTATTTTATAGGTCAGAGAGGCCTGAGAAAGCAAGGCATTTTCCTGAGGTTTAACTAATGACCTTTAAGAATATTTCCAGCTGTTGATTTTGAGTTAGTGAGTCCAAAAAGAATCCTTAGCCCTTAAAAATTGAAAAAATAAAGGGAGATGACTAACATCCAGAAAGATAAAGGCTAACTTTCAAAAGATAGTTGTTTCCTACATTCCTTTTCAATCCAAGGTAACTAGTTAAACCTGACTATTGGTATTAGAAAGGTGCTATTTTAAATTCTCAAGAAAACTTGAGAAGTGTAGACTAGAAGCCCAAACTGTCTACCAATTACTAAGTATATTTCAGAACATTTTTTAAGAACCTACTTCTAAAAATAATGGGTATATTCTTATATAGCCATAATGTCATTATCATGTTTCACAAAATCAATTTTTTGGTATTACTGAATACTCAGTCCAAATCTGAATTTACTATTATCTTCTAAAGCTAGTTTGTTCAAATTACTTCTATGAATGCTGGTGGCTAAGAAGTTGTTATTGTATACCTGAATTTTACTAGATTTAAGAGTTAAGGTACTTTGAAATTCAGTATTTACAACCAACAGAGATTCTTCTTTACAGCTATTTAAAGATACCAATTTTAGGGGCGCCTGGGTGGCTCAGTCGGTTAAGCGTCCGACTTCAGCTCAGGTCACGATCTCGTGGTCCGTGAGTTCGAGCCCCGCGTCGGGCTCTGGGCTGATGGCTCAGAGCCTGGAGCCTGCTTCCGATTCTGTGTCTCCCTCTCTCTCTGCCCCTCCCCCGTTCATGCTCTGTCTGTCTCAAAAATAAACGTTAAAAAAAAAAAAAATTTAAAGATACCAATTTTAAAACGTGCAATAAAATACTGTTTTGTCAAATTTTTTTTAGACTTATGTGAATGAAAAAGTCTGAAGATTCCTGAGGTATATACATCAGTGTATGTGCATTGTATGCAAGGTACGGGAGCATACCTTATATACGTCTAAATAGTTTCCAGCAGTTCTAAGCAAAGGTATTTAGTTGTGGTAAAGGTTTCATACATAGGAACCCACAAAATGGAGACGGCCCAAGTCACAAATCTGAACACAAGTAAGCCTGCACTTAGAGGAAACACCATACTGCCAAGGAAATTTAACGTACACCAATCACAATCCTCCAACTCAGATTCAGCTACTTTACCTGACCCTAGAAAATAGGACCTGCTAGCCAGTCATGCTGTTTCTACTCTGCTGCTTCTAATGCTTTATAAAACTCAGCTCTTGCCCAAAATCCCTTGGGAAGAGAGAGCGCTCCACTGCTTGTTGGGCACAACGATCCCCAGTCTATAGGCTGTTTTCCCTTGAATAAAGGATGAACTCATTACTAAAATGTATTATTGTCACCTGACAGTTGGTACTGTCATTTTCCTGAACTTGAGGGCTAAGAGCAGAACTACTTTTGTTTTTGTTTTTTTAATTTTTTTTTTTATTATTTTTTTTTTAATTTTTTTTTTTTCAACGTTTATTTATTTTTGGGACAGAGAGAGACAGAGCATGAACGGGGGAGGGGCAGAGAGAGAGGGAGACACAGAATCGGAAACAGGCTCCAGGCTCTGAGCCATCAGCCCAGATCCTGACGTGGGGCTCGAACTCACGGACCGCGAGATCGTGACCTGGCTGAAGTTGGACGCTTAACCGACTGCGCCACCCAGGCGCCCCTTTTTTTTTAATTTTTTTAACGTTTATTTTTGAGACAGAGAGAGACAGAGCATGAACGGGGGAGGGTCAGAGAGAGAGGGAGAGACAGAATCTGAAACAGGCTCCAGGCTCTGAGCAGTCAGCAGAGCCCAACGCGGGGCTTGAACCCACGGACGGTGAGATCGTGACCTGAGCCGAAGTCGGCCGCTTAACCGACTGAGCCACCCAGGCACCCCGAACTACTTCTGTTTTAAACAAAGGAGGAGTACCTCAGGACAGGACTTGCCTGTTTTTTTCTATGCTACAGCACATTCAGAAAATGTAATATTTGTATGATCCACCGGGCCAGTGCCCTGCCTTAGCTGTCCTGTGGGTTGAGACCTTTCATAGTACACATATGGGGAAATTCTGAATTACAGAGGAAATAAATGTGTGCTTAAAAGACATAATTTTTTTTAAATATATTTTTTTTAATGTTTGTTTATTTTTGAGAGAGATAGTATGAGCAGGGGTGGGTCAGAGAGAGAGGAAGACAGAATCCAAAGCAAGGGCCTTTCAGCACCGAGCCCAACGTGGGGCTCAAACTCACGAACCATGAGATCATGATCTGAGCCGAAGTCGGACGCTTAACCAACTGATCCACGCAGGCCCCACAAAAGACATCCTTTTAATAGAAACTAGAATATACAATGTAATGTAAGTGCATTTCAAAGATAGATGAGTAAGGATAAAAATAATACTATTTAAATTTCTATTTAAAAAGGATTTAATCTGTATAATGATACTAAAATTAATTTTTTTGAGATTACGTTAAAATGTTCTTAGGATACATAATGCAATGCTTAGAGATGAAATGAGATGATTGGAATTTACTTCAAAATAATAAAAAAAGTAAGGAAATGGATTGGTTACAGATGTGAAGGGATCGGCCATGAGTAGACGGCTGTTAGGGCTGGGCATAGGTACATGGAATTCTAATTTTGTACATGTTTGCAATGTTCTACAACAAGTTTAAATAAAAAATTCAACAGCATAACTCTGGGAACTTCTTATTAATGCTAAATGTAAGAGGCACTGACCATTTGTTTATGATCTCTCTCTTCAATAGGGCAGAAACTAGCATATCCCTAGAAACTGGAAGATACTGTTTGGGGACTTTTAGGTTTACAAAGTCCAGCATCCCTGGTGTAAGTGTTTATGTTAGTTGATGGTTTGCAAAAGAAATACACACACACACACACTTGGTTTAACAGTTTCAAAATACAATTCCTCTGCCCTTGGATATGTATGATGGAGAGGTAGAAAGAAATATCTCCTTATTTGACCTCGATGCTTGATAAATGATGGTACTTACCAGTTATGAAACTTAATTCCTCTCCTCTGGAGGTTCAAATGAGTTCCTCAGTTTTAGCAATAGTGATAAAATGGCAAAAGCCAGGAATGAAAAGATAAAATATTTAAAAGTAGAAACAGTCAACTTTGAAGCAGTCTCAGTAAATGCAGCCAGACATTTACTTCCTCTGTGCTGATGAACTCCACTAAAAAGAATCATTTTGGAAAGAAAGAAGGAAGGAAGGAAGGAAGGAAGGAAGGAAGGAAGGAAGGAAGGAAGGAAGATCTTCCACTGCTCATTCCTTTTTCTCTAAAAAAACTCAGAAAACATCACTGAGTCTTTGAAGAATAGTAAATATTCAGGGAGTAATTCAATGGGAATAACCCTAAATATAAAGAGCAAGTATAATTAGATAAAATCTGAGAAAAGTAACTTGCTCAATTCAAGGGACAGGTGGAAAAAAAAAAAAAAAAAAGGGAACAGATGACCTAGACAGAAATTACAAACAGAATATTGTAGAAAGGAGGAAATACTCTAAGAGAAATCGGCAACTTGGGGTCCCTTAGTCACCCACTGATCTCTTATCCTATTCCCTATATTCTTCTCTTGGGTTTCCTAACACCAGTTTAGGCTCCCTACAACTCTTTACTGTCAATTCCATGGGCATCTGGAATGCACTGTATCAGTGCTATCCAATATGGCAGCCACTGGCCACATGGAGCTATCAAGGACTTCAACTATGGCTGGTCTGATCAGAGATGTGTTGTAAGTATAAAAGATGCTTCCGCAAACAGTATGAAAAAAATTCTTAATAATTTATATTGATAACATGATGAAAGTAATTTAGATTACTAGGTTAAATAAAATATATTAAAACTAATCATGCTAAGAAATTTTTTTAAGTTTATTTATTTTGAGAGAGAACGCGCACACCAGCCGAGGAGGGGCGGAGAAAGAGGGAGAGAGAATCACAAGTAGGCTTCACACCGTCAGCACAGAGCCTGACCCAGGGGTCCAACTCAGGAGCTATGAGATCATGACCTGATTGAGCCAAAACCAAGAGCTGGATGCTTAACCGAATGAGCCACCCAGGAATCCCTAAAAAAAAAACTTTTGATGTAGCTATTAGAAAAGTAATAACACGGGGCACCTGGGTGGCTCAGTCGGTTAAGTGCCGACTTTGGCTCAGGTCACGATCTCGCGGTTCATGGGTTCGAGCCCACTTCAGGCTCTGTGCTGACAGCTCAGAGCCTGGAACCTGCTTCGGATTTGTATCTCCCTCTCTCTGCCACTCCCCTACTCGTGCTCTGTCTCTCAAAAATAAACATTAAAAAAATTTTTTTTTTAAGTAAAAATATATCATGTGGCTCACATTTACATTTTGATTGGACAGTGCTGCTACAGACACTTTATCATGACCCACTATTCCTCATGCTGGTCTGGCTTAATGATGTGCTAAGAGTTGACCCATGGGGTAAATTATTTTTTTTAATGTTTATTTTTGAGAGAGAGAGAGAGAGCAAGCAAGCAAGCAAGCGAGCAAGGGAGGAGTAAAGTTGGGGGACAGAGGATCTGAAGGGGAGACTCCACACTGAATGCAGAGAGCCTGATGCAGGACTCAAACCCCCAACTGTGAGATCATGACCTGAGCTGAAGTGGGACGCTCAACTGACTGAGCCACCCGGGCACCCCAAATTATTTTTAAATTTGCATTAAAAAAAATTTCTTTCATTTAAAACAACTGTTTTTTAATTTTTAAAAAATGTGTATTTATTTATTTTTTTTAAAATTTTTTTTTTTCAACATTTATTTATTTTTTGGGACAGAGAGAGACAGAGCATGAACGGGGGAGGGGCAGAGAGAGAGGGAGACACAGAATCGGAAACAGGCTCCAGGCTCTGAGCCATCAGCCCAGAGCCCGACGCGGGGCTCGAACTC